CACATACATCAATTGTGTAAAGCACATTTATACATTCGTTGCCCTCATCATTCTCAAAACTCGTTTTCCAAGAACAACATTTTTGGCATGTTATTAGAAGGAAAACTCACCACCTCCGCCGATTCCTGCTCAGAGCAATCCTATAGCAACAGCGCCTACTTATGAAGACAAGTGAGGATGTGGGAGCAGGTGGTGGCACCTGCCAGCGTCCCTGTAGAATACACACTGAATAAACATGTGATCCACTTGTAGAAATGGTGGAACCACCGGTGGTTGGAAGGTCACTGAGGAATTGATGTCCCTTGGGGCCCAACAAAGACCCGTATGATGTCACACATACTGACTGCAGAAAAGCAATTTGGAGGAAGGGTGGTAACGCTTACCATTAGGAATTATCACACACAGTCAAGACAAAAAGAAATTATTTATTTAGACAATACTTATTATAAGGGGGGGGGAATGAGGTTTCTTACACAAAGTGCTAGAGGGGAGTGGCAGGGCCAGGGCAGGAGCACCTCACCCTGGGACCCCAGCAGCCAAAAAGAAGTTGGGTCTCACTGCAGCTTTCAGGGCAGCAAGGGTGCTAGTCCTCAGGACCCGTCAGACACCTTCGCTTCCACCTGAGGCCAGCGTGGGGACTCGTGAGGATGGAACGGAAGCAGGTGGGGACAGCCTGCCCACATGAATTCAATGAAAGGGTTAAAACGCAATCTAATGAAACGTTCCAAACCTACCCAATCTTTTTTCCCCCTCTAATCTACAAAACTGCTCTTTCACAATCATTTTAAATACCTAAAAGACAAAAACTTTCCCCAGGGAACCCAGGTCCAAACTTGGCGTTTTACACAAACAGACGGGAGCCGTGCAGGTGCTTGGTCCCCGGCCACAGGTTGCTCTGGCCCATGTTGGAGGTGCGCCTCTGGCACTGCTTGCATCGCTCGTACTTCTCACACTGGTCCAGGAGGAAGAGCTTGTCGGAAGCCCTGAGGAGGAGAGTGGGAAGCCATCAGCAGCAGGTATTCCGTGCAGTGCAAGGAATGCAAAAGAAAAGCACGAGCCGGAGCATACAGTCCACCCAGGTTACTCCCTATGAGCTCTCTTTCTAGGGCGCTAACTGGGACTCATCCCAGCCAGGCATCCCTTGCTTGTAAACATTGCTATCGCCCTGATCTTCAGGGAATAAAGGACCTTGCTGTGGTGCCTTCCCAGCAGCCTGACCACAGCCCACATTCCTAGTGACATTGATGCACAGAAAACAGATCATTTACCCCTGGTCACCCAGCCACGTGGGTACACATTATTCCTTTCTTACACAGCTGATGAGCAGTGAACACCCACAAAGAGTTTGCACTAGACTTTCCATAAAGAGTCACGAAGCCAGGGGCAGAGAAGTAGTAGAGATGGAGGAGGAGGATCACGGCAGGGAAGAAGGGCAAAAGTGATTTTCCACTTGAGCCATTTACTACATTAGGCCAGACTGCCTCTTGTCTGCTCGCTACCCTATCCCAATTCTATGTGGGCAAAATGGTGTAAAAAAGGGATGTAAAGGCAGTCGTAAAAGGGAAATCAACAAACAGCCTTGAAAGAGAGGGGAAGACCTCTCTGACCTCCTTCGTAACAGGAGTGAGGATCATGTGCTAACTGCTCTGATTTAACACTAACCAATTCCTTCTTCGTACCTGCTGCCTGCTTGCATCCCTGCCCAGCACGCTGGCCTCGACCGTCTGGTCCCTAGAGCAGCCTTACTAGCCTGCCGCCCAGGTTGTTTCCTGTATCCTCTCTGTGCTTTATCTCCATGTTGGGCAAGCTTTCTTCCTAAACCCACTACACGGCCCTGGTATTAATCTCAGAACTTCCAACTTGGCCTGGCCTTGCCCTTCTTCTTCTCTAGACCCAAATCCTCACTTCTTCAAAGCCTAGTTTCCTTTTCATTGTCCAAAACTACAGGTTCTACACATTGAAAAATAGATGAGAAAATGCCTTAAAGGAAAATCTAAGAGGAAAAGGAGAGTTGCACATTACTCCATTAGTCCAAATTTTATCCAGGATAAAAATTAATTCGTAATTGGCCACTTTAAATATTTTGGCATATTCCAGTTTTAACAACAGTTAATTGTAAAGTCTTACTTGTTTCAACAAATATTTACTATCTATACATTTGAATCTTTTTCAAAGTATAATTCCTTCTCCCCTTTTTATTTGATCTCTAGAATCCCTAATGTTAGCTTGCAGATTACTACTTACTCTCTACATTTATAAAAAAAAAAAGGAGGGTGGGCTGCCTCTCCCACTCATTGTCATCAGCTGAATCCAACTCATACAAAATCTATACCACAAAGTTGAAATTTCCCCAAAGAGTTTCCAAGGTTGTAATCTTTACAAAAGCAAAAAGCCTCATCTCTCTTCCACGGAGCATATGGTGGGTTCAAACTGCTCACCTTGTGGCTAGCAGCCCAATATGTAATTCATTATGCCACCTGGGCTCCTTTGTCTTTCCAAAAGTAATGTTAATGATTGAAGTCAGGACTAGAATCCAGATTTCCTGACTATATTATAAATACATCACTGGGAAGAAAGAGCAGAAATGTAATAGTGTAAAAATGTAAAATCCAATTTTCAATCTCTCAACATCTTGACTTGGCTCTTAAAATGACAATTCTGTAAGCCTTAGAGATAGGTGTTCTGATGAGAAATTCTCCCTCTTCTTCCAAAGAGAGTCTCCACTCAACACTACCACCCATCCTACCTATCTTGCTAGCTCCCAAACTTCTAGCACCCAAAAAGAAAATAAAGCTTCTCTGAGCACAGGAACGATTGGGGCAGGGTTGGTAAATGCATCTACACAGCATACACTACAACTCTCTCTAATCCTATGTCCGTGACGGACATTTCTGACCAAGCACAGCAATATTTCCCATGGAACCCCGGCTTGCGTTCTCCATAAAATTCTTTAGAAAGCTACAACTAGCCAGTGGGTTTGGCACGTGAAATGAAACCTATCTACCATCCCAGGATTAGAAGGAAGTGTACAGGGAGTAGAGAGCTCTTCTTTGGGGACAACGTATGGCTCCCATCAGGCATTACCTCTCAAAAACCTTCTCCTCCTGATCCCGCTGTCTCTTCATCGCCACACTCCTTTCCCAGTCGTCCTGTAAGCCTCGGGTGATTCTGTTCTCACGCTCCCGTTCAGCAGCTCGGTCTTGCAAGAATCTACAAAGAACAGAATGGTCTGACTCCACTCCCAGTACTTGAAAGCCCATGCGCCAACCTTGGAAACCCATTCTCCATTCTTCCCCTAAACGATTTGTGAATTAGGTGGGGGTTACATATCAGGGCATGTGCTAGTTTGGGTACTTTAGAGAAACAAATCCATAGAAACTCATGTATAAGAGAGTTTTATATAAAGATTAAGTGCGCATCAAGAAAACATCCCAACCCAGTGCTGCCCAAGCCCACCAGTCCAACATTAACCCATATGTCCAACACCAATCCACAAAGTCCTCCTCCATCTCACAAAACACACACAATGATGCCGACTGCAGGAGGAAAGCCGAGTCAGTGAATGTGTAAGCATCTCAGTGCTGGCAGGGGTCTCCACACGGCTGCTCCAGCACCCAGGGCTGCATCGAAGTAGGTCCATGCGGCTTCTCCTTGGGGATGTCTTGCAAGAAGTCAGCCTTGCCAGCTGAAGCAGGAACTGGCTAAGGCAGCTGCACCCTGGTCTGACCATCACAAAGCAAGAGACCCGAGAACTAGAAAGGCAAGGCTCAATGAGCCATTTATCTCTCCACCCTTCATTTAACCCCACGTGTGTTTATCAGCCAGGTTGGCACAATAAACTACCTCAGGGCATCATTTTTGCATTCAACAACTTGAGCAACATATCAAACCTCTCAATGGTTTGCCCTAGTTCCCTCCAAACCTTTTTTTTTTCATCTCCTTCTTGTAGTACATTGTCTTCCCCCCTTCACCAAAGCTAACATTTGTCCACCCTCTAGCCTATTGCTGATGCTTCTTCCCTCCCGACTGCTCCTATCCCTGGTTTCTTTTTGTGTGACAACCTTTTCTTGGTTATTTTCTCTTGGGGTTTTTGTATGTTTGTTTATAACAGTGGTCTCACACAATATTTGTCCTTTTGCGTTTGACTAACTTTACTCAGCAAAATGTCTTCTGAATCCATCCCTGTCAGGAGGTGCTTCAATTTCGTCATTATCCTTAAGGACACGTGGTATTCCGTTGTGTGTATTGACCACAGTTTATCTATTATCTTCTTAATGTTGTGAATCGTGCTGCAGTGAGCACAGGTGTGCCTCTATGTGTCTGTGCTATGCTCTTTATAGGATATACGCCAAGTAGTGCTATTGCTGGGTCATATGCAGATGACACAACCTTGCTTGCTGAAAGTGAAGAGGACTTGAAGCACCTGCAGGTGGAAATCAAGGGTTATAGACTGGTTTGGATTGCAGCCCAATGCAAAGAAGACCAAAACCTCCCAGCTGGACCAATAGGTAACATCATGATAAATGGAGAAAAGATTGAAAGTGGCCAGGATTTTGTCTTGCTTGGATCCACAATTGATACTCATGGAAGCAGCAGTCAAGAGATAAAACAATGCATTTCATTGGGTAAATCTGATGCACGAAACCTCTTTTAACCGTTGAAAAGTGAGGGTGTTAACGTTGAAGACTAAGATGAGTCTGACCCAAGCCATGGTATTTTTAATTGCCTCATGTACATGTGAAAGCTGGACACTGAATAAGGAAAACAGAAGACATGTCAATGCATTTGAACTATGATGTTGGAGAAAAATAGTGAAAATACCATCTGCCCAAAGAACAAAAGATCTGTCTTGGAAGAAGTAAAGCCAGAATGCTCCTTAGAGGCAAGGGTG